AGTAGTCTCAAGAACACTGAAGCTTACGTACCATGCTCACCATCTTGCAAAGGAGGAGCCTGAAGTACAGAGAGCCTGAGTAACAGGCAGTAAAGAAGACACAAAGCCAGGACTTCAGTGCAGATCTGAGATGCGAAGCCACATTTTCTCCCGCCCTCTGTCCCTTGCTGGCCTCCCTTGCTGAGGTACGGGGTTCACTCTGCTTTACGGAGGCAGCAGAGGCCGTACTCCACAGTAACTGGCTAAGTTGAAGACGCCTGCACCCTTGGATCCCAGCGTCCCCCTTCATGGTAAACTGGAGCATGTGAGCACTAGCAGACATGCCTGAGAATACTCCGAGCAGGACTACTAGCAATAGGAAAGAAGAGGAAATAACCCAGCGTCTCTCAACAGGAACATGGATAAATAAACCGCAGTGTGTTCATACAATGGAATGGTCCAACACGGGGCACATGAATGGAGCTTGTCTTTGTGTATCAACCAGGAACATTTCCACAAACATACGGTTGAATGAAAAAGCAAGCACGTGGCTTTCTGTAACAGCAGGATTCCATTTATATAAAGTTATGAAACACAAAACTGTACTAAATACTACTAGCAGGGGATACTCATGTAAAAGTGTAAAATCAGCTATAGGAATATTAAACACCAAATTTACCATGTTGATTACCTGCAGAGAAAGGGACAGAAAGGGATCAAGGAAGGATACAGTGGGATTCTCATTTATATCTGTAAAAGGTATTTCTGGGGCCGGCATTGTGGCATAGTGAGTTAAGCCATTGCCTTCAGTGCAGGCATCCCATAAGGGTGCTGGTTCGAGTCCTGGCTGATCCACTTCAAATCCAGCTCCCTGCTGATGGCTTGGGAAAGTGGTAGAAGATGGCCAAAGTGATTGGGCCCCTGCACCAGCGTGGGAGACCTGGAAGAAGCTTCTGGCTCCTGGCTTCAGATCAGCACAGCTCAGGCCATTGCAGCTATTTGGGGAGTGAACCAGCAGATGGAAGACCTTTCTCTCTCTCTCTCTCTCTCTCTCTCTCTCTCTCTTCCAAATAAATAAAATAAATCTTTTCTTTAAAAATGTGTCTTTTTCGGCTTCCATGGCCTTGGCAACTCATGAGATTACTGATGCCATAAACAAGAGTGTCAATTTGTTAAGTCAACAACAGGAGTCACTGTGCACTTACTCCTCATGTAGGATCTCTGTCCTTAATGTGCTGTACATTGTGATTTAATGCTATAACTAGTACTCAAACCATATTTTTCACTTTGTGTTTCTATGTGGGTGCAAACTGTGGAAATCTTTACTTAATATATGCTAAACTGATCTTCTGTATGTAAAGAGAATTGAAAATTAATCTGGATGTGAATGGAAGGGGAGAGAGAGCAGGAAAGGGGAGGGTTGCGGGTGGGAGGGAAGTTATGGGGGGGAAGCCATTGTAATCCATAAGCTGTACTTTGGAAATTTATATTCATTAAATAAAAGTTTAAAAAATTTTAAAAAATGTGTCTTTTTCAAAGAAAGATGTGGGGCCAGCACTGTGGTGCAGTGTTAAGCCAATGCCTGCAATGCTGGCAGCCCATACAGGTGCCAGTTCAGGACCTGGATTTCCACTTCCCATTCAGCTCCCTGCTATTGCATCTAGGAAAGCAGTGGAGGATGGCCCCAGCCATTTTGGCCATTTGGGGAGTGAGCCAGCAGGTGGAAGATCTCCATCTCTCCCTCTCTCTGTAACTCTGCCTTTCAAATAAAAATTTTTAAAAAATAAAGAAATGAAAAATGTGGAGCAGGTTCTTGGTGCAGTGACTAAGACACTGGCTTGGGACACTGGCTTGGGACACTGGCATTCTGTGTCAGAACACCTGGGTAGGAGTCCCAGCTCTGCTTCTAATTCCAGCTTCCTGCTAACGTGCACCTGGGAGGTAGCAGGGGATGGCACGAGTACTTGAGTCCCTGCCACCCACGTGAAAGACCCAGACTGAGTTCCCAGCTCCTGGCTTTGGCTGGTCCCAGCCCCAGCCGTTCTGGGCAAGTGGGAAGTGAGCCATCAGATGGATAATCGCCATCTCTGTCTCTGCTTTTTAAAAATGAAAACAAATTTTTTAAAAATGTAGTAGAGAGATATAGAAAACAGAATCACATCAGTTAGGAAGGAAGGGAGGAAAAAAGGAAGGGAGGGAGGGAGGGAGGGAGGGAGGGAGGGAGGGAGGGAGGAAGGAAGGAAGGAAGGAAGGAAGGAAGGAAGGAAGGAAGGAAAGATAGATATATGTTCCTGAGGGTGTGAGAAACTAGAATCTCATATAATGTTGGTAGAAGTACATGAGTGTATGTCAAAAAGTTCATGGAAAACAAAATCAAAAGATAAGTTTATTTTGTGCAAAATGCATATAAGGGGTCTTGAAAAAGTTCATAGAAAACGCTTATTAAATTGCATGGATTTCAAATTCTTACACCAACATGAACATATATTTTATTTCCATTTACCATGAGTTTTTGGAAGTACCTGTATTGGTTCAGTACATAAGGAGGGTAATCTGACATCAACTATGTAACTTACAAATGTACATAACCCTTGTTCCAATTCTTCCACTTCTAGAAATCTCTTACAAAAACATGCACATACCTAAAAACTAGGCATAAAAGATTAGATACTACCATATTGCCTATAGACGCAAAGGAACAACATAAATAGCAGGTGTCCCTGGTAAGAGAACACATTGATATGGAAAGTTGCTGTAGGTGCAGACGCTGCATTAGGTACTGCTGTGTGCAAAAGCACAGGGATGCAAGGGAATTATTACATACGCTTGCATTTGCATAAAATATCTAGAAGGATATACATGAAACCAGGGTCATTAGCTACTGCGAGAAGGGTGACTTGGAGACAGAGTAGAAGGGAGAATTTTCATGGAAAGACTTCTACATTTTTAAATTTTGGTCCACGTGAATATACTGCCCACTCAAAAAAAAAAAAAAAAAAAAAAAAAAAAAAAAAAAACGCTAACAGTTTAAGGCCCTGGAGAGGCAAGGCGAGGTTCCGTAATTTCCCAGGCTGATATAGTAAGAGCTGAGCCGAGGTCTGTGCTAGCCGCTCCACCGTGGTGCCTCCCCGCCTGTCTGTGGTGGCAGTAGATGGCAGTGTCAGGTCTCCGGACCTCTGCTCCATCTGCACCATCTCTGTGGCTGGGAGCAGACCTTATGCAGTTCAGGATCTGAGATTCTATCACCCACACAAGGGGACCACTCCACGTTCAGATATACTACCAGGCCCCGTTCCTCAGAAGTATTACCTCTCAGCAAAAGGTAAGGCGCAGAGGACCTGGAAGAGGGTGTACCAGGCTCCTGGATAGTCGCTACCCAAAGACACAAAACCCTGCTTCCCCAACAAAAGGCTGCTTGTGCCACTCCAACTGCCTGTCAGCAATTACCCCCAATTACAAAGCCAGAGCCGGCAAGGCCTCAATTAGTCTACAAAGGAGCCCAAGGAGCAGGGGGGCTGCACAGAGTGAAGTTCACATCCAGCCTCCACCCACAGAGGTGCTCACTTCAAGCCAAGGGACTGGGGGACTTAGTGACATGTGCTCCTGGGAGGTGGTTACTGGCTCTCCTTCCCCTAAGGGCCCAGCTGCTCTGCCAGGAAGTGTGACTCTACACTCCCTAATCTTCCTGCCAGACCATACACCTCCTCCCACGTGCCATGTTCCAGAGCGAGGTGTGACATCTCCAAGCCAAGGGCTCCTCCTAGGACCACACAAACAAGCCTGAATAAACCCTAGAGGGAAGCCCCAGCCTGATGCTCCTGGAGCCAATAACAGGCTCCGCTCTGCAGACTGGGAAACCAAATGGCCATCTCTTCTCGAGGAATGTGGGCCTTGGAGCTCCTCTCTGTAACATTCAGAAGCAGCCTGGTCCCTGGCCCAATCTTCTGAGAAGACCACCATCAGGTTGCTGAGTGCAGGGTTTGACAAGTTGTCCCAGAATTGGTCCCCGTGCTCTTCTTCACAGTGAGTGTGCATGGCTGTGGGAGAGAAACTATGCCTAGTGCAGACATGGATGGCAAGCCTGGAATCTCCGAGAAAGTACGCAGAGAGGACCAGCAGTTGAAAGGAAGTAGAATCTCTTACTCAAAGCTAGAGTACGATGGAAGGAAGGACTTCCTGACTCAGGGACAAACAGGGCCACATGTGCAAAGGTGAAACCCAGGGCTCCAAAGTCAAGCTGCCATTTACTATTGTCTGGGCAGTTCGGGCACATTATTCAACTTATCTGTCCTCAGTTTCCCCATTTGTAAAATGGGAAGAGTACCAACCCCTTAGCTTTGTCATAAAAAAAATAAGATAATGCATGTAACATACCTGGCATAAAATAAGTGCTAAAAAATGATAGCTTTTTTCTTTTGAATTATTTATTTATTAGTTTTATTTATTTGAAAGACAGAGAAAGATCTTCTATCCACAAGCTCCCTCTCCGAAAGCCCACAACAGCTAGGGTTGAGCCAGCCCAAGGCCAGGAGCCAGGAACTCCATCTGTGCCTCCTAAGTGGGTGGCAGGGATCCAAGTCCTTGAGCCGTCACCTGCTGCCTCCCAGGTGTGCATTAGCAGGAAGCTGGAGTCCGAAGTGGAAAAGGAGCTCAAACCCAGGCCCTCCAATACAGAACGTGGGCTTCCCAAGTATCCTAACCACTTCACCCACCCTCCACCCTGGCCTTTTCCTATAAAGGAATAATAATAATAACACAATAATAACAGCTGGAAGTGTATGGTGGCATTTAAAGAGCACCACCTATAAGGAAAAGGCTTGCTACCACTTGTCTGTAGTACTGCAGTTGGTCTTACTACTTCAAAAATCATTTGGCAATGTCAACTAAGACTAAATGTACTCCTATACCTACTCTTAGATATCCACTCAAGAGAAATGAAACACCTTTCACAAAAAGGCATGCACAAAAATGTCGACAGCTTCATTTATGATATCTCAAAACTGGAAACAAACACTCAGCAATTGATGGATAGATGAGCAACTTTATGGGATATTGTACAGTAATAAAGAGAAATGGATACCTGACACAAGACCAGGAACAATAAAAACAGCTTGTGCAGAAAAACTATACATTAGGCAGGCATTGTTGCAGCAGGTTAAGCCACTGTTGGAATGACAACATCCCACATCAGAGTGACAGCTAGAGTCCCAGTTCCTCTGCATCCAATCCAGCTTCCTGCTAATGCACTTGGGAAGGCAGCAGATAATGGCTCAAGCACTTGGGCCCCTGCCATCCATGTGGGAGACCTAGACGGAGTCCCAGGCTCCTGGTTTCCACCTGGTCCAGTCCCTGCTAATGCAGGCATTTGGACGATTTCTCTGTCTCTCCCTCTATCTCCCTCCATCTTTCAAATAAACAAATAAATCTTAAGAAGAAGAGACAAGACACAACAGAGTACATGCTCTACATCCCATTTATGTGATGCTTAGAGCAGACAAAGCTGATTTATGCTGACAGAAATCAGAATATAGAAGTCAGAATTCAAGACTCCTTTGGGGGCTGATGCTGCCAAGGAAGACATGTAAGAACTTTCTGGTGCGAATGTTCCATATTTTAACTCAGGTGCTAGTTACAGAGTTTATATATGATGTAAAACTACATCAAGCTGCACCCGGGAGATGTGTCTTTTTACTATCTGCAAGTTATACCAACACACACACACACACACACACACACACACACCTTGGCATGAGGGAAATCTGAAGACAGTGTTACAAGTCACGGAACTCTGCCCTTCTGCCTCCCTTCTTCCACACGGAGTTCCCAGCAGCCCCCTCTGCCTTTTCTCCCAGAGCTGCCCTCACCAGGGGAAAGGCCCACCCCGCCCAGTCTGCTGACAGAGGCTGAGGCACACACTCCTGGGGCAAATAGATGCTGGTGGGCTTGTACCCTGAAATCACATCAGTGAGTTAAGGGGGATCCCAGAGCCCTGGGCCAACCCCCTCAGGGGCAATGAGGTTCAAGAAGACACTGAACCAACCAGAAAACGCTTCCAGCTCTGGGCTGTGCATTCTGACCAAGTAGGGAGTAGGTTCTCTTTTTTCTTTCCACTTTGTGTGTGTGTGTGTTTGTGTGCATGTGTCTGTGTGTCTCAAGCACATATTTGGGTAAGTGACTCTTCTAATCTCAACCAGGCAGCCTAAATAACCTCTGGCCTGGAGCCTGGTGCTCTGTGGGTGTGTGCACCAGCACACGCTGTGCACGTTCCGGATGGCTGTGCCTGCCCATGTGACCAGCCAGCTCAGCAGAGGGATTTGGGGGGTGAGGAGGGTCGGGGTTCTGGACCTGAGTTTCTGGAGGGAACTTCGGACAGCAACCCTGGCATGGGAACATACAGGTAGCAGCCCATGCCCCCAAACACGTGAAGGCTCTGGGAGGATGTATGAGCTTCTGGGAGTCAGACTCTCCCAAGTGGAGTCCACAGGTCACAGTGCGTCATGAAACGGGTAGGTGAGCCAGTGCGTGAAGAGGCTGGGCGGGCAGGCACCAGTCTGACGTTTGCCATCAAAACATGCAGAATCTGAAGTGGTGTGGGTGACAGGTGAGTAATAGTAGTGGGCGAAAGAACTCTAGGGGGTTCCGGATTGACAGAGAAATGGAGAAGAGTGACCTGAGTTGAGGGTCAGGGAGCCCGCAGGTGCGCGTCGCAGCGGCGGTGCAGACAGAGCGGTGTGCACCGGCGTGGGCGGCTTTACGCACAGAGAAGCGGCTCTCTTCCCGCCCCGCGCGGCAAACGCCGGCGCCCCAAGGACAGTTGCGACCGGCTCTCAGTTTTCCCTTCCCTGCGCAGCAGCGGGAAGCCAGTGGATATCTCATGGCCTTGGCCAGAAAAAAGGGGACCACGGGGCCAGGGTCCTCCGGGGGTGGGGGAGCGGCGCGAGCCCAGCGACGCCGACGAGCGCTGCTTGCCTCGCGGCGGCCGCGCTGCTCCCTGGACAGGGCCGAGCCACCTTCCGCCGCTGTTGTGGGCTTCCTGACCCCGGGAAGAGAAGGTTCTCGCTGCAGCAGGGCCGAATGAACCGCTCGCTCCGGCTGCCGGGGCCCCGGATGCGCTGGGTCGGCGGGCCCCTGGTGCCGGCTCCGCAAGCGGTGCCGGACTGGGAGAACGCGCTGGAACCGCCAGTGACCCCTACGGTTACATCCGCGGGACGCTCCGGAAAATCGAGGCCAGAGAGCTAGTGAGCCCTTGGAGGTGTGCGCGAAGGCCGAGGTCACTGAGCGGGGCTCCGGCATTGCTGCAAGGCCATCGGGAAAGAGGGCGCCCCCACCCCCCGCAGCCCACGCAGCTCGGCACAAAATGCCCCGCCGGTGGGGACCTGGACCTCGCCAGTGAGCCAGGCCCTATCCAGCCCGCCCCAGAGGACTGATAAATAAATCCAAGCGCGCCCGGACCGCTTCCCGGGGCGACCGCCTCACCCACCTGGAGCCCTGCGGCAGCGGCCAGGAGGAGACTGTACCCTCTCCCTGGGCGCCTCCACCGCCAGCCCCAAGCCTACCGCAGGGGCCTGGGGCCGCCGTGGCGCCGATCGCCGCCCCGCTTCGCAGACTGCGTTTCCTTGCCTAACTTCGGTACCGTGAGCTGCCCGACATCCTTGGGGAGAGACACATTCCAGCCCCAGCCTCTGTGCGCACTGCGCGGGCCTGCTCTTCTCCGTCCGCGTAGAAATCAGCTCCTGGGGAGAGCAGGCCTCCTTCGGTGCACTGAGAAAACCATTTAGAGAAACGCCTTCCTTCACCCCCACCCCCTCCACACACACAAACTCCTTCAAGGCTGAAAAGGGAGCCGAGGGTGGAATTCGGGGAAGTGATGACACACACAACAATGCTGTTACACCTGGCTGCAGAGGGCTGAGCGGCGGAAATGCCTGGGGGAGGGGGGGGGGACAGCGAGCCAGCCTGGGTGGTCAGAAAAAAAAAAGGAAGAGGAGAGAGCAGCCCCCACCTGCACCGGGCAGACCCAGCTGTTTCTGTCCCCTGTTCCAGCCCTGGGGGAGCCTATCGGCAGCCTCCCCAAACGGGACTCTGCTCCCACCCATAGCCTGGGCACAGATGGGGATGAGGAGGAGGAAGAACCCTTGCCTTCCTGCTTCTAACGCAACACAGGGATGTGAAAGAAGAGTTTGCCCCCCCCCCCACACACACACACGCACGCGCTGGAAGCAGGAGACAGCCCCGAAAAACAACCAAGCCTCTTGGAGATATTTTCAATAAACAGAGGAAGCAGGAATTCCCCGAATTCAGGAGAGCCTTGCTCCCTCTCACATTGGAGCTCAGGCCACGGCTGCCCTGCTGACCTCTCCGGAGGCATCTTCAAGATGCCGAATTCCAGAGAGCCCCACCGCCCTGTCCTCTCTTTCATCTCCCAGTGCCATGAGGACAGGGCCTGTGGATGCTGGAGCCACAGGCCACTGAGGGCTCCGCAGCTTCCGGGCAACCCTCAGAGACCCGGCAGCCTGGGAGGAAGAGGGAGGGGCAGACGTGGGGCCAGCCACTCCAACAAGCCAACCAGGAACACCCCTGCAGGACATCCATTCAGGCCACCTCCCCCCTCCAAGCCACAAAGCTCCCAGGCCCCCTTCCTCAGCACCAAGGCACTTGGGACTTGAGGTTCCAGAATGCCAGCCCTCCGTCACAGACTTTTCGTGTTAAGATGCACACCTGACGCTGCGACCATGCTGATTACCTCTGAGACAGTCCCCGGACTCCCATGCTGACCGAACAGGGTCCCCAGCCAACCTCTGCCGATGACAGCGAGCACTCACCCATGAGCCTTTGCAGACACATCAGCATAAATGTCTCACAGTGAGAGAAATCCGAACAAGTGCCTCCCTCCGGCTGCTGTGTTTTTTCGCCCAAGTGGTGGTAGAATACGTACACTGGGAAGGATAGAGGCAGGGGAGAGTTGTGAAGGAGAGGGAAGAGGGGAGGGAAGGAGGAAGAAAAGGAGAGGAGAGAAAGAGAGAAAGCGCTGTAACCATGAGGCACATCCTTCTGAAATTTGATACACATGTAACAGGACCAATCTGTGAGTATAACTGTTCTACCTCTTAAATACAACTCACACACCTTGTACCTGTGCACACCTGTGTTTCCGAGCAGCACACATGCAACCTGGACAGCTGGTATCTCACTCATCTCAGGGACAGACCATCCGCGTGGCTTCCACATGTGACATCTGTGACACAGACAGCCCCCAAAAGCCCCAGGGCGACGTCCTCTCCTGCACCTCAAGGAGTGCCTTCTCCTTGGTGTGAAAGCACACACCCAACCCGAAAGGGTTATGCGCCAGTGTCAAGGAGGGGCCTCCTTCTCAGATCCAGAGGAGACTCCGGTGCGCCCACCACCACCACCACCCCCAACCCCGGGCACCTCCTCGAGGAGATCTCCCTCCAGTCCCGTCCGTCCCTGCCACTCTGAGCTCCAGAGGGCCAGGCCGGGCTGCGGTTTCCTCCTTCGGCGACACCCGTTCCTGGGCTAGTTTTCCCAAAGCCACCGCGCAGCTCTGCCCACCCCACCCCCCGCCCGGCCCCCCTCCCCAACTCGCTCCTCCCCCAGTGCCGAGCTAGAAGCCGAGCCCCCAAGACCGCAGCCGAGGGCAGAGCCTTGGGGTCGTTTTCTTTCACCTGAGAGCTGCGAGGAGGCTTGGAGCGCCACTCTTCGCTGGGGCCCGAGCTCCCTGGGCACGGGCCGGGGTGCGGGCAGACCTCTCCGGAGCCCTGCGCATCTCTCCTGGCCCTGTCCGCAGAGCGAGCACCCGCAGATTTCAAGGGCTGGAGAGAGCACGAGCCAGGCTGTCCTCCGGGGCCCCCGTGGTCCGCCGAGCGGGGGCAGGCCGGTCCGGGCTTTGCGGGGCGTTTACAAAAAAGTGACTTGGCGATGAACTCGCCCGTGCGCGGCTGGCCGCCCCGCTATAGGGGCGAAGGCGCCTGACGCAAGCGGAACTCGGCGGAGCCCATACGAATCAGAACAGAGCGAGGCTCCTGGCGCACTCGGGACTCCAGGCAGCAGCTCCGCCAGAGACGCGGGTCGTGGCTCGGGAAACTGGGGGGGTGGGGTGGGGGGGAGGGGAAGAGATCTAGGAAGAAAACCCACCGAGGCGGGGACTGGCCTGGGCGGGGAGGGGCGGCGGGGCCGGAGCCCCTCTCTGTTGGGCGGACTCCCCCATGGCCAGGGGCTGAGCTCCACTCCCGCCGGCCGCTCCCTGGGGAAGGCAAAGAAGAGGGAAGAGCAGCGAGAGGCCTCCAGCGAGCGAACGAGCGAGCGATCGCGGACGGCACCCGCAGGCTGCGCAAGTTTGAGGCTCGACCGCCAGCGGACTCTCGGCCGCGCCAGCTCCCCGGGAGGCCAGCAGGGGCGGCCGGCCGCGGCGCGCCGGCTTTGTCATGATGGCCAGCTACCCCGAACCCGAGGAAGCTGCGGGCGCCCTGCTGGCCCCGGAGAGCGGCCGCGCGGCCAAGGAGCCCGAGGCGCCGCCGCCGAGCCCGGGCAAGGGCGGCGGGGGCGGCGGCGGCGGCGGGAGCGCGGCGGAGAAGCCCGACCCGGCGCAGAAGCCCCCGTACTCGTACGTGGCGCTCATCGCCATGGCGATCCGCGAGAGCGCCGAGAAGAGGCTCACGCTGTCGGGCATCTACCAGTACATCATCGCCAAGTTCCCGTTCTACGAGAAGAACAAGAAGGGCTGGCAGAATAGCATCCGCCACAACCTCAGCCTCAACGAGTGCTTCATCAAGGTGCCGCGCGAGGGCGGCGGCGAGCGCAAGGGCAACTACTGGACGCTGGACCCGGCCTGCGAGGACATGTTCGAGAAGGGCAACTACCGGCGCCGCCGCCGCATGAAGCGGCCCTTCCGGCCGCCGCCCGCGCACTTCCAGCCCGGCAAGGGGCTCTTCGGGGCGGCGGGCGCCGCGGGCGGCTGCGGCGTCGCGGGCGCCGGGGCCGACGGCTACGGCTACCTGGCGCCCCCCAAGTACCTGCAGTCCGGTTTCCTCAACAACTCGTGGCCGCTGCCACAGCCGCCCTCGCCCATGCCCTACGCCTCCTGCCAGATGGCGGCGGCCGCGGCGGCGGCGGCCGCAGCGGCAGCAGCCGCGGGCCCAGGCAGCCCCGGCGCGGCCGCGGTGGTCAAGGGGCTGGCGGGCCCGGCCGCCTCCTACGGGCCGTACTCACGCGTACAGAGCATGGCGCTGCCCCCCGGCGTGGTGAACTCGTACAACGGCCTGGGCGGCCCGCCAGCCGCGCCCCCGCCGCCGCCGCCGCCACCGCCGCCACCGCACCCCCATCCGCATCCACACGCGCACCATCTGCACGCGGCCGCAGCCCCGCCGCCCGCCCCGCCGCACCACGGGGCCGCCGCGCCGCCCCCGGGCCAGCTCAGCCCCGCCAGCCCGGCCACCGCCGCGCCCCCGGCGCCCGCGCCCACCAGTGCGCCCGGCCTGCAGTTCGCTTGCGCCCGGCAGCCCGAGCTCGCCATGATGCATTGCTCTTACTGGGACCACGACAGCAAGACCGGCGCGCTGCACTCGCGCCTCGATCTCTGAGAGCCCACCGCGTGCCGGCGCGGACCGAGGCAAGGACGTAGGGGCGCGCGACGCCGGCCGTGGTCGCAGCCGCCGCCGCCGCCGCTGCCGCTGACGGACGGCGCGCCTGCAGCCGGCGCCACCTCTCGGGTCGGCGCCCAGGGCTCCTCTGCGCCTCTGCGCTCCCCATCGCCTTGCCGGCTCCTCTTTGACCCCTTGCTTCTCCCCCTGTGCTCGCCTCCCTGCCTTCTGTGTCCTGGCTGTCCCTCGGAGAGGCCGCCTCTGCGCGCGCTTCCTACAGGCCTCGCCTCCACTCGGAGCCCCTGCGTCTCGGCTGGACGCCCTTTTGCCAAAATTCACTTCGGAGAGAAAGCGCCCCGAGGCCGACGTGCAGCTGGGCGGCGGTAGCGCGGACCTCCCGGCCGCCTCTCACAGGTCGGTGGGCTCACGCTCGGCTTTCCGCGCCTGATCGGTGCGCGGTCCTTAGCTACTACCAGCGCCGCCGGGGCTGAACCGGCCACGCGAGCCGCGCCGCGTGCCAAAGGGACGAAAGTGCCTGCTCCGCGAACACCCTCAGAGCTCTTGGGAAGCCGCCTGCTGCGGGGCCCGCGGGGCGGGGCGGGGGTTGGGCCCAAGCGGGGAGCCCGGGGCGGCCTCGCGGGGTGGTCTGCGCTCGGGTTCGCACCGTGCCGCAGCGCAAAGGGAGGCTGCGCGGTCTCCTCCGCTCTCCGTGCCAGCGCTCCCCGGGGCACCTCCAGGCCCGGGCGGGGCGGCTGGCTCATGTTTTGTTAAAAACGATCGGTGGGCCTTTTTTGAGATAATATTAAAATATCTATTTTTTAAGGAAAAGAACACTCGCCGGGAAAAACGGCGAAGTATTGTGGCCGTGGTGTTTGCTAAAGCCAAACGTGAAAACCAAAAATCTTTCGTGTGCCTCGTCCTCTCTTCTGGGAAATTTGCAGGAGCTCCAGTCTGGCCTCCCTAAAGCTATGTTCAGAGAGGTAGGGGAAGCGACCCAGGGAAAGATTGATTTGTCTACTAATTGGAGGAGTTTTCCCCTTTCCCCCATCTGGAGTTGTGGGGAGAAGGAAATAGAAAACAAATCTCCCCGGATTTTCCGATGCCAGCCCAGATGCTGGGTGCAAGGTTCAGGGAAAGCTGGTGCCTCCCTGATTTTTGTTTTTCCAACGTCTTGCTTCTCCCTACCTTGGGAAGGAGAAATGTGAAACCGGCGGCGGCCGGCCCAGGCGGGTTTGTGGCCGAGAGCAGGCCGGCCCAAAAAGCCCTAGACCTCGTGGTCGTGCAGTGTGTCGTTTGGGGGACCAGATTTTCTAGAGAGAACTAGAGCACTTTTGTTGTATTTCCGTGCGTGTGCCTTGTCAATTTCCCTAATAAATTTTTTGTTGTTGCTCTTTCTTTTAACACGGACTTCTGTTTTTTCCCTCGCGGCCAAGTTGAGCAGCGAGTTCAAAGAGGGAGCTTTTGAGCGAAATTCTGGCCCATTGCGGAGTGATCTAAGCCAGGGTGGAGGGCGGCCCGGGGTGGGGTGGTGGGCGCTGGTGGCCGGCTGCTTTGTCTTCGCCGGGAGTGTTTGTTTTCTGTGTCATCGGTGGCTTGTTAGGCTGTTTAATGGCAGCAGAGGAACTTTATCTGCTCTCAAGGCGCTAGGGCAGGTAGGACTTACTTTGTTTTTGCACCCATGCAAATGTGCATTTTGCCTCTTAAACGCCTCCAGGTCTGGCGTATGTATTTTCATTATTGTCCTCAGATTTTTAAATTTTTTACAAGTCCACTACAAGGATAACAGCCCGAAGAGTGTATTCCAAAACAGAGATTAAAATGTTTGTTAGTGGAAATGCGCTGAAATCGGCAGACCTCCATACAAACGTTGTAGACTGATGCCTTATTTATAATAACCAGAATTCTTTCGCCTTGAGATGTGGGTAAGACGTTGGGGAGTTTCAGAGAGAGTTGAACATACTGCGTGGCTTCAGGGATTTTGTCTGTCTGTTCTTTTACGGAGATCTTCAAATAACGAATTAAGGTCCAGGCTTTGCGCACGCACATAGGCGGTTCATCACTTCACAGCCTTGCTCTCCCAAGCAGATCAGGGGTGTCCAGCCCGCAGCCTGCTGGTGGGACAATGGAGGTCTGGGGGCTCTTGCTGCCGCTGGACTCGACCATCAGTACAGCCCAGTGTTTCTCGCCACCCCACTCCATCTCCCAGCCTGGACCCAGTGGCGGCAAGTCCCAGCCAGGAGCTGCTGGGCGTCGCTGGGCACGAACCTGCGGGTGTCTTGCTTCTGCCCGACTTGGGAGCAGGCCATGGGAATGTCAGGGTGACATCCGCGTTGTGTGTGCTTGGACCTCCCTCCTCCCTCGGGCTTGCCTGGGAAGGCTCTCACACTGCGGATCTAGAAGTCACGGGGGTTCTCAGAGGGCAGCGCCCTGAGACCGGGACTGGAGGCCGCTGGACCTGTAGGGAGCAGGCTGGCCGGGGCTGGAGGCCCAAGCGGCTGCTCAGGCTTGGCGTCCGGGCGCTTTTGGTGGCCGCTGCTCCACAATCTGGCCAGCAGAAGGCGGGTGCGGGGAAGACAGTGGACTTGTGAACGTGTATCCCGCCAGCAATGTGTAGCGTGTGCCTGCTGCAAAGGTGTGTGCACAGTGACTGTTGTATGCTGGCCACATGGCAGGAGGGGGCTGAGTGTGTCTTTCACCTGAACTGAGGGCATGTGTTTGGGGCATGGCAGTAATCTCACAGCTGACACTTGTGGAGTGCTGGTTGGGGGGGGGGGTGAGGTGTGCACTTATGTTCTGTCTTATAGCCCCAGCTTACTAAAGGATAATGGAGTATGCTCACTGGTTGCTCCACCTGGCAGAGGGTCCCTGTTCTGAAGCTGGCTGTCAGCACCCCGCCCACCCCACCCCCACCCCACACACAGCAGCTGTCCAAAGCAATCAGGGAAAGAAGCCCCCAGACAGAGCCCTGGTGAGCAGGTAGCTG